CATCCAATCCAAGATTTGGCCGCCACTTGGAGTTTTCTGGATCCAGGGAGACGACTTCCCGATGCCAAGGGAATTCTATCCGCTCCTCAAAGGACCGGCCCGATCCGCGCATTGATCGGCTCCACCGAAGGGGCTCCACCGGTCGGACCGGAGGTTCGTGACCTTTGAGCACTACATGTACGACTCTTCGGTGGGACAGCTGGCGGCCTACAGCAGTATGGATGAGGCAAAGAATGCGTGCGAGACCATGGGCAGTGTGTGCCTTGGAAAGAGGCGATTCGTTTTGACACTTGGGTGACTGACAACGGGTTTGTCACAACCATCTGGGCGTGTGTGACTGCGTGATTGTGTGTGTTTCTGCTCGCCTGCAGCGATGAGATGGTAGTCTGGTTGGTACAATGAGAGTTCTCCCCTTTCTCATGGCCCAGGATGTGTGCTCATGGCCCAAGCATGGCTTATATGTGGTTGACAAACGTTTCCCATTCCCTTGCGAATGCAACCGCGGTCGGTCCGGGCAAAGGTCGCAGCGGCGAAGCGGCCCAAAACCGGCCGATTTCGATCCCCACCTGCGAGGGTCGCACACCTGCGGTGTGTGCGACAGAATCCGAAAGGGGGCTCACCGACGGAAACCTCGGGCGAACCGAACAGATGGCCGTGGTTTGTGCACCCACCAGATCCACCGGGATGGCTGTAGGATCAATACCTCAAAGTTTCGAGGCTCTGCTTCGGCATCCCAACTGCGATGGCCCCACGAGGGAGAACCCTGTGAAGCTCATCAAGGCACGTTTTGCTTTCGTTTTTTGGGGGGAGCAACGGGGTTTCCCTCGTGTCATTCAGGAGTTGAGGTCTGCGCAAGACTGGTTGACCCATGTTTCCTGTGACACCAATGAAAGAAAACACTAGCTGCTAGCAGTTGAAACCAACAGAACAGGGGAGCAGTTGTTACAGAGGAAAAACATGCAAGACTGCGCCTTTTTGGGATTGCCTTCATGATTTTTCCAGTCTTTTTACCTAAGAAGCTCTTGCTATCCTGCTTGGTCCAACAACCAAAACACCAAGTACTTGTAAGATCACTCCTACCAATCGGTTTCTTCCCTCATCTCCCTCATCAGTTGGGGACCTCTCGCGTGAACCGCGGTCATTTTGGGGGCCTCTAAATCAACCTTGGACACTCACATGAGCAACTGCAGAAATTGATGAACGACTGTAGTAAGGAGCTTCCCTCTCAAATGGGCATACCCCAGAATCAATCAATTGATTGCTGAATGAGATGGGGTCCGCCCCACATGAAACACTAGATTTTTAGCTTCCATGCACGTTGGGGGAAGCCTTTGGAGGAGGGCTTGGATGGAAGGATGCCGTGTCAAACCAGCTGCTCACTTGCTGTCGACACCAAATCAAGAACTACTTCTTTGTATTGAGCGCAGAACATGATTCCAACGTTAACGACACAACCGACATCAAACCGTTGCTCATAGGACCAGCTGACCTGTGTTGCCCCGATCGTGCGTTGCGGCTGACGGAAGCGGCCCCGTGAGCGTGCGCGCCCCCGCGCGGACGCGCGCGTTCACCGGAGGCTCCAGGACTCGACTTGGAGTCCGTGCAGGAATCTTCAGTGGGCAGCTGCATCCAGAAGCTCATGAGTGGCCACTGGGTGGCTATGAAGGGCTTGAGTGGGGACTGAAGCAGCCCTGCAATAGACAGGCTAAAGCGGCTAGAGTGCGAGTTTTTGCCGAGGGCACCCGAGTCTAACGCTAGTCTTTGTTGGACAGTGGTGGACAGGAAGCCCTTTCGTCAAGCGCAAGGATATCATTTCTCAGAGATTCATGTGTTATATCTGAGAATCTGGTAGCACCGACTTGGCTTTATTCCATCGAGAATGCGATTCTACCAAGGGCCTTGAACCATCTGGTACCATTCTGTTTTTTCTCTGTCCAGCGGACGCGCGAAGCAAGGCCCCGGCACCACCTTGACCACCACCACGGTGCGGGCCTGCACGTACCAGATCCAGTACGAAAGCAGCCAGGTGCCCGTCACGTGCAGAAAGGATTGACTGGAGCGACTCGAGAGAGAGTTTGGTTCGTTCGACACTTACCCTCCATCCAACAAACATGGAAGTGGAACATGGCCCCTTGCAAGACTATTTTCCTCTACGAACAGGCTGTATTCCAATTCTATGATTGTTTCAGGGAGGGTAATCTCTGGGAGCTTGGACTTGAACAGTCCGAAGGAGCGAGCTAGCAGCTCCAGCACTTTCTGTCTCACCTATGAGTCGGCCGTAAGTGATGATGTGAGTCGCTCAAAAAGAGAACTTGGAATCACTTGATAAAGAATGGACCCATTCTTCAAGCGCTTGGACCAATGATCACTGGGACCTTTTTCCAGGCGCCCGGGGAGATTAAGACCATGGAGGTGCCGCGCCAGGAGTACGGCGAGGCCTTCCGCTTCAGTGGCTGTGTGGCTTGGAGAGTTGGGTTACGGCCCCCCCCAAAGAGGTGGGGAGATGGTCTTTGTTCTTTTTTGGAAGTAGGTTGGAGGCCATCGCTACTAGGGTGGAGGCCATCGCTATTAGGGTGGAGGCCATCACTACTAGGGTGGAGGTAGTAGGTGGAGGCCATCGCTACTACATTTAGATCAAACAGTGCCGTCCTCACGGTCCGAGGACAGCCAAGAGTTGGACGAAGGCAAGGACTGCGTGGCGGGTGGCGCCTCCAACGGCGTGCGGCTCCTGAAGAACAGGCGGTTCGGTGTCGTGTTGAGACCAACAGAGACTATCAGATAGTGTTGAACTACCTTGTATCAACAAAAAACATATATATATATATATACACAGTATAAATGTTCTTGTTTTAATCCGTGCTTGCAGTCTAGCATGGACAAATCTGGACATGACCTATATATGCATTTTCTGCTCAGAATCTATAGAGCACTTCGCTTCACTGCATCCTCCTGCCTTGGCTTGTTGTGCATTGGCCTTGTTGTGTCGAAATCGCATTGAGCATTGGTCGGACTACGGTGGATTCGCGTGCCCTTTCATGTCCACTTTGAGCTATAGCTAGTCCCAGAATCACTGGGCGTGGGCAATTCTGATTAGCTCCACGTGAACCGGCAGGTATGGCCAGGCCGTTGGCACTGGCTCCTGCTGCACCTCCGAGACCAACAAGGCGGTCGTTTGGAGCTGCCGAACGGAGCGGTCCCCGGGGTTTTGCCCCCCCCCCAAGACCATGAGAAAAACCAATGGAATTTCTTCGGCAGAAGCGGCAGGAGCGGGTGGTTGAAAACCAGGTGTACCAATTGTTTGCCGTGAGTGTTTGTTCTGGCCAGGTGGTCGAAGCAAAGCCATTGGAGTGCGATGGCTTCAAGGATGAGTACACCAAGTTCAACGCAGTGTATCTCACGGCTGGGACATTGTTTTTGGTGTTTGCTTTGTGTCACGGAGTATCTCCGCACGTGTGCGCTTCTTTGCGCCGGTTTTGGTATGTTGGGTGGATTCTGGAAGATTCAATGGGGGCATGAGCACCTCATGAAGTGCGAAGGCATGTGTTCTGTGTTCCGAGAGCTTTGCTGAAGAACGCTCTCAGAAGGTCACGTGCCTTTCACTGGTCTTCTGCATGCGTAGCGGAGGCCAGCAATCTCATCAGAGGCACCTCCTATCGAACCCTCTTCGCAGCGAAGGCTGAGTGGTGCAGGGGCGGGTGGTCTGGTGGATCGTGACGGAGGTCACTTGCCGGGTGGTCGGACGGAGCCTAGAGGATTCTTGATGGAGGTTTGTTCATTGTTCCGACATGTATACGCCCACGACTTGATGTGCGTTTTCTTTGGCTCCGCACTGTCTTAATTGGTCACCTGATGCTTTTCCTGGAGCCCCTAGTAGCGTCCTTGCTCCTAGTAGTATGCTTTTGCTGGATTGTTGGAGGTGGCATGCCTAAAGATGGGCCACAAGTGCTGGGGCCTCTTCGACGACAAGTGCGACATGGGAAATATCATGTTGGTGGATGGCGACCTGAACATCACCAACAGCAGCTGGGCAATTCATCCAGACCAACCTAGACAATTGCCATGTACATATTCATATGGGTGTGGGCCAGCACATTCTGGATCATTGTTAACTAGCTGCAATTGACGTGTGAACTATTTGGGGGGCGAATGGGAGGAACCGAATCAGGGCATCCAAAGGGATGTCCTGCCTGGACTAAGATCTACTAAGACTCAAGGATCTCCGGCCAGGACACCCAGACAGGACGCACCTGGGATGTATCAGCCTTACATTCATTGATGCGCCTGGTCGCCTCCTACGTGGCTCTTCTGACTTCCGAACGGGGTCTTGACCACGATCCGAACTTCCCAGCTCCCACTTCCCTAACTATCAAGATCTTGGGTGGCAAATGGAAGGATATCCTTTCAGACCACCTCTCAGCCCTGTAAACACTTGGTGCTTGGACCGAGGCAGCTTCCGGGTCAGTCACCAGAGCTCGTGTATCTACGAGAAGATCCACGTGTGAAGCGAAAAGCTTCCTTCAAATCCTTGGGAGCGCAGCTTCGATGAGGGGCTCATGTCAATAAGACACGCCCAGAAAGGTCCTGAAGCGAGGCTCTCGACATAGAGGTGCTGGCCATCAATATCTCTCTCAGCCGCGCCATGCCAAAAGCTGTGCGAGATCACGAAGGAGTCGCATTGGTTTGAAGTCGAAACATCAGATTCCTCAACGACAGGCTCACTACCAGTGCAAGCAGTCTTCCAAATCCGAATCTCCGGTATCCCGGGAACTACCCGTAGGAAGAAGTGATTCTGGGTGAATACTGAATACAGTATATAAATGTATATATATATACATATTTGTGAACATTGTGAATCTTTTGAAACTAGTTTATTCAAACAAGTACACGCATCATATGTATTCTTTGAAGCTTCCCTTTAATCCGCGCTTCGCCGCTGCATGTCCGTGTTCCCCGCACGGGGCGAGGCCCGCAACGGGCCGCGTTCGTCATGGGCCTCTCAGGCTTCGAGAGGAGCCACGGACCGGTGGATGCTCACCGCCGCTCGGTGGCGAACCGGTTCGGAGGCGATCGTGGTTTAGAGGCGAACCAGTTCGGCTTTTTTGTGCGGGTTGGAGAGATGCTTTTGGAACACAGGACTCGTGGAAGACGGTATTCTTTGTTTTCTTCTTGGTGGGACTTTGTCGAAGTGCGCACCGTAAAAAAGAGGGTTTCAACTCTCCCCTTTTCTGCGGGAGAATCTTCTTTTTTATATTGAATCTTCTGAAGAGTACGAGGAACCCCCTTTTGCATCTCATCGCAAGAGCCTCGAACTCAGGCTTTGAGCGTCGCACCAAATCGGGTCCGACCAGCGGCACCAGCAGCCTTTTCACCGGTGGGTGGGGTGCCCCAACGAGCCATGGGGTGGTGCTGAGCAGTCGGGGTGGGGGGGTTAACAGCAACCTCATGGCATCCATCACATGTAGCAGTCACTAAGTCCACCAAGTGGCTCATACCTTCACAGTCTCCACATCAATCAATGTCACCTGTATATATATATATATATATGGATTATAGGTATATACAACTATCATCTAAGATCACTTACAGTAAGGTCTCCTTGGATTCATGATTCACTCATGTCCACTTTGTCAAGTCACGATTTCACCGCCTCGACGGCCAGGTTCAGCCCATCCTTTCACTCCACACGGATGGCGCTGGCCCTTGGGGTCCCTGGCCTCGGTGAGTTCTCTCGGGAACATGGGCGGTTCTACTGAAGGGAGACAAAGGGCATCGCTAAGTAACAAGTGTTTTCTTTTTTCAGATTCTTAGAACAGAGGCCATCGAGAGAGAATCCCATCAGGAGAGACCATTAGTGGAGTTTTGAAGAACATTAGCAGGAGAATCCAGCTCTTTGCAGCTGAACTGAGGCCATCGAGGGAGGTGAGTTGCCGGAGGCTGGGGATAGAGGGTGTCAGGCCAGGGTGGGGTGTTTCGCAAAGGGGGATCAGGGGATTGTACATTTTATCAATGAAACCAATGGACGGGCCGGTAGGTAGTACAAATATGGAGTTAGAATTGGTAAAATTTCTTCAATTTTTTTTTTCCCGCTTCACAATTAATGTAACTTGTTTGCAATGTATTTTGGACTACAGTTTTCACGCCGGCTTTGCGACGCAACTCACTTTTCACGTCTCCAACACCAAGCCCTCCTCCAATAAAAACGATCGGTCCTTGGCTGGTACCACACCCTCTTTTTTGGGTGGGTTGACCGAGGCTCTTAAACAGGCCAGCCCTGCTGGGGCTCTCATCCAGGAAGAAAGAACTGCAGCCATCCTTGTGAGGTTTGTCCTTTTGAAGACCAGAACCCAAAACTTCAAAAGGAGTGCAGAACAGATCTGTATGTGCCGCATGTGATGCCTTGCACCCGGAGCGCTCGTATGCGCTCGTAGCATTTTGTTTTTCTTTTCCAGGAGCCTTTCCTCTACATGGAGAGTGGGGGCGGTCTCTTTGCCAGGCACACTCACGCTTGCTTTGCGTGGCACCTGCTTTCTTTGCCCTTGATGGAAGGGCATTTTTCTTGAAGCTATGAAGGTCAATGACCAGGCTTCTTCCTCTTCCTTTGTTGAATTGGTGAGCAGGCTTGTGGGGGACCCTTGGCGAACTCACTCGCCAGGACTCTGGATGTGCGACGCTTGCCTGGAGGCTACAGGCCGGTGGACCGGCAGGGGAGGTCATGAGAAGATTGGTCTTCAAAGAAGAAGTCCTCTCTTCAGATTGGTTGAGAGAGAGGCAGTTTCTCCAAGAGAAATGCCTTTTTGCAGTCGAAAGCCCATTGCCGTGGAACCTGGATTGCTCCGGGTGGACCTCTGATCGAAGATGTAGTTACTTTATGACGTATGCAGTCCCCCCCCAAGACACTTGAGCAGCCACAGGGTGAGAGGCCGACTCTCTTGCGAGCAGCTTCACCAGCTCATTCTATTTGGTCTCCCGCTTCGTTGGATCGCACAGTAGGTGTGTAGACTGTAGACCATGACAAGTGGTAGCTGGTAGCTACAGGCGGCTTTTGGGGTCGATTTTCCTTCTTCCAAGAGGTCGATATGGGAGGTCTCCCTATTCCAATACTATGTAGATACAGGTCCATTGCAACGGTTTATTTCTATTTTATTTTCATTTTTTGTGTTTTTTGTTGCGAGGCCATTCTTGCCCTGCACGGACTTCGATGAGCCCTTTGGCGGCATGTTCCTGGCACGACATCCGCACGGGTCATCGGAGTCGTCCAAACATGTTGGGAGTCTCCAAAGCGAGCTCCAGAACTCCTCCCACTTGCATGCAGAAATCCATGGATGGAGTTTCTAGATGTGAGTGGACCATGAACATGAATGAGCATGAGTCGCCTTTCTCTTTCTCACTTTTTGGTCTAACCAGGTGCCAAGTTTGGACGTGACTTGACCTCTAGGAGTCCAATCTGAAGAGAGCGAAACCGGCCAAATGCCAGAGGTAAGTAAGGGCTCCCACCGATTCCTCATCCTGGCGTTGAGCAACGCTTCTTCCTCCACCAGGCATCAATTCCTAGGTTGAAGATGGTTGAAGTGCATCGTGGAGAGTGCAGTGAGTTCTTCAGTCATGCCAGCCTGCCATGGTGGTTCCTCGCAACGCCTGATTGGAGGAGCTAGGGGAGGGACTGTCTCAAGGTCCCGAGCCCCCTCTGAGGTACGATCTGCATGTGAAAGAGTTCAAGGAAGCCTTGCGGCTCCAACGCGTCGGGAGCTGCAAGGGGCTCTCGTTTCAGGGCTGTTGAGCAAACTCTTCGTTTTTCGGTGGAAAAACCGAGCCAAGCGGCCTGGACAACGTGGATAGCAAGAGATCACATCGACTGAGTCAACGGGCTAGTTGTGAGAACCTTTGGATACTTCATGTAAGATGCATACATTACTGTGCGTCCTTGCTGCTAGTAGCGATGCACCTTGCTACTTAGCAGCTTCTTGCTACTAGTAGCTTCACCTCTGTCCACCCCCGCTGAGGTGCGTCGGAACCTCCACGGCCGGTTGGGCAAATTTGCGCAAAGCGTGCGAGCACCAAGCGCACAACAGTGTGTACGGAAGCCTGTCGGTTCCTGTTGTCCTCAGTCAATGTTTTGCAAGGTGCTGAACCCCGAAATAGAGCTACTCAACCCATGAGACTTAGTCGAGATCTCTTGACATTGGCCTCTTTTCCTTGCTCAGATGCTTTCTACAGCACTGCCGAGTGAACTCGGATGTGTGTCTGTCAACTCCAGTTAAATATCCACGCTTCATTCGATCTGTGTATCTACGGCCATGGGGGGCCGGCCAAGGGTCGAGGTTTCAATCCTCGAATGACCACGGTCATGGGTGAGAAGCTAGAACCGATCGAAACCACGGCTTTGCACAGACACAGAGGACATGACGGTCGCCACGTCGTTCGAGTCGCCCCCATTCTGTGACCCGGCTGCCCGCGGTGTGACCGAGGCGCCGGCGAGCCGGCGGCTCGGCCGGGGGCCAGGCGTCAGCGGGCCACAGGGTAGAGACATCGGGGAGAGTGAAAGGAGTATAAGAAGTGCAGTTTTTGTTGAAGGTTTTTGTTCTTTTTTCGTCGACCTTGTCCTAGGTGCATTAGTGACGGGTGCCTCCAACCTCATAGCGATGGCCTCCTTTTTCTATTGAGGGTTGTTGGCATTATATGCATTATGATAATGTATGGATGGCCTTTCTGAATGAGAACATTTACTCACAAGTTGCCGCCTGCCTCAAGCAAGACCTTTCAAAAGATCGCCAGGTCCAATCTCCTGAAGCGGAATCGGTGTTTGTAATGTTCACCCATCGGAGTGGAAAGTACTTAGCACGATCCTAGCACTGATTGAGATCTCGTAAATAGCAATAGCCTCCAGCCTCCAACCTAATAGCGTTGGCCGCCTATCAGCCGAAGCTTGCCTGGAAAAGTGAAAGGTTTCCTTTGAGCCGGTCGATTCTCGTCTGAGACGTTTGGGGACGAGCGCTCTTCGCGCCGAATGCGTCCCTCGAGCCAGGCGAGCGCTCTCGTCGAAGGGTCTCCCAAGTCGGATGGTGATCTCGTTGGGCAGATGACGGTCGTCAAAGGGACGCGACGGTCGTCCATCGGACGAGCGTGGTGCGTCAAAGGGACGTGGCCCGGACTTTGAGTTTGGAGAGCCTTATCATTCAGTGGTCCAACTATCCAGATGATGAGTGGTGATTTGCCCAGTGGCATTTAATGGCTTATTTGGGGTCTCGACTGTAGTTCACTCTCAAGGCATACCCTGGAAATCTGGTGTGCCCCTCAACTGTTGTGCTGAAGCTTTTGCTTTCAGTAGCTTTCCGTCAGTAGGACTACTGACAGTGGAGCACTCGTAGTCTGCTAGAACCTACCAACAAGGCAAATGATCCGTCCATCATCTTATTATGCCCGTAATCCCCTTTATCAGACCCAGGATGACCATGATGATTCTCGTTTGCAGGGCTGGAGCAGGTCCAACTATGAGACTTCAGTCAGTTAAGACTTGAGGAACCCAAGTGCGGACAGCCGCGGACAGGAGGACCGACCTACCTGGTTCGACCTCAGTCGACTGGCCCAACGTGACTGTTTCCACGTTTTCAACGAATTCACGGCCAAAGTTGCCGCACAAGTTGTCTATGACTCATGCCCCCTTCTTCTGATGGCTCAAAGCCTGTGGGGGCTCAACCCATCCTTGGGGCGATGAAAAGGGGATTGGCTGAAGGCACGAACTCATTAGCAAAATTAGTCTTTGATATGGGTGTGTATTTTAATACGGAGACCTCCAACCCATGGTCTATTCCCTTTCTGGAAAGAGGGTCAACCAATGGTTTGTCTCCCAACTTTAATGCACCCATATGCACCAATGGTTGACACAATCCTAATTCCATCACTCCCTTGGCATCCGCTGGCCGGCGAAGATGCTGCTCAGCAGACGTCCGTTTCGCGCGAAGGATGCCGTAACTCGCGCGGCGAGTTCTCGACTGCAAAGCAGCGGAGCTGCGTGCCACCTGCAGGTGATCCATCTGGGCTTAGTGATGCCCAGGTGTCCAGAAGTAGATAGGGGGTCTGATATTGGGGTCAGTTTGAGGATAGGATGTTAAACAATGTTCCTACTCATTTTTGTTGACAGTAGCACTTTATTGTTAAATTTGGTGGGGCAGTGGGGCATCATCGAGTACGGTGCTGTCAACTTGTCCTAGAGCTCTGGCCTGGATGAATCAGGTGGAAAGTCTTTTTGTACCCCCTTGCATTAGACACCTCTTTCCACATTTTGCTCCGGCAGAAACAAGACTTTGCAAAGTCATTGGCATCCGGCCAACTGCTGGTGCAAAGAGCGATCAAAGAGCTTGTCAGGGGAGAAGGAACTCAACCATCAGGCTTCTTGCTAGCTTTGCCACCACAGCGGCTCCCGGGCCACTGTGTTCCACACAATTCATCAGGCTGTTGGTGGCTGGTGTCGCCACAAGAGTTTTCTGTTTATGGCAATTTGCCCCAAAGATCCTGAGATGAACTTTCACACCACCGTTACAACAAATGTTTGTAACCCGCCCAAATCTATGGCACTGGTATTGCCACCACATCCCCATTTCCGAAGTTGTAATCTGGACCATCTTGGCTGGACAATTCTGACGTTGTTTCTTCCGCCAGTTCTGCGGGTTTCTTCAACGTCCGTTTTCATCCAAGGGAGGGGTGCTGAATATCAGAGGTTGAATTTTCATCAAATGAACTGTAGTAGTGACATGTAGTGAAACATGCTGTGAAGGGTCTCGAACTTTGATATGTTTGAACTCAGACGTTTCATTTGGAGAGGCGGGTGTACCACATAACGCTTCCATTCTCGCTCGCGGTGCTCACGGCTCGAGGGGCGGATCGCTGTCGCACAAAGCAGACACCCGGTGAGACACGGCAATCGAACTTGACGAATCAATGTTGACTCGATGTGCAGCATGAAACACAGACATGTACGAGTCATTATAGACGTCTGTTTGGATAGGCCTTGATTCCTTCATCAGGTGGTGAATATGCTCTTCACGGTCTTCCCCACAAAGGCATGGTTTGCCCAAAGGATGCTTTCCCTCTTCGGGTGCCGATTTCGGGGAAACCGAAGGACCAACCTAAGGACCTAAGGACCTAAGGACCTAGGACGACTCCACTCGACCTAAGGACCTAATCCAAATCCAGTCAGACCGACCAAATAAGTTGATCCCAAGCCAAGCAGCTTTCTGAGGATTTTTGGAGATGGGGGGGCGATTTCTGAGGCGCCATGTTCCACAAGTGAATGTGAACTTCGTAGATCTGGCTGCGCTGCTTTCGTGCGTGTGTTTACATGGCTGTCCCCATGAGCTGGCCAGAGATGTCTGGTCGCCTGAGTTGCCGGAGTCAGTTGGGTCTTGGAGCTCTTGGCAGCATGATTTGATTGTGCAACAGCAGAGGAACTCCCACCAACGTAGGGAACCGCGAGAGTTCGATGGAACCGTTTGATCATGTGTTGATCCATTCACCCATACACGGTGATTCCAAAATGGAAACACTGCCTAATCGAAGGAATTCCTCCAATTTCACTGGTTCCATCATGTGGATCCGTTCTTTGATGCCTCCACATAAGGCCACCGGCCAAAACCGAAGGCTTTAAGGTCCACAAAAAAGGGGGGATGCATCCACCCATGGGTTCCGACCTGTTCCATTTTAAAAGGAAAGACGACCCACATGGTTCCACATAGTTCGAAATTCTACATGGTTTTCATGGGCTCCTTATGGTTTCCACAGATGGATTTGTAGACGACCCACCCAGAGGATCCTCAGCGGGTCTCCAAGGAGCCGTGCTTGGGAAGAGCTGAAGGAGGATCGGAAGGTGCACGACGTGGGACTCACGTGGGCTCGTTGGAGCGCCAGGGACCGTGATGGGAGACTCCACTCAGGGAGGGTTTTTGCATTCAGTCGGTGGGTTTGCCTTCGCAGCAGGATTCAGGATTGTTTCCAGGCATTTGGAATAGGAGACAGAACCGTATAGACCAAGCCTAAAGAGCAAACCAGACTGTACAGCGCCTTGACACGGCGTTCCCCTTGATTCTTTTTGAGTACAAGAGCTTAGGAATCGAAGAGACGATAAGGGGCGCAGGAGTGCGGTGCCTCCTCATGCCCGATCTTTCTTTTTCTTCACCTTCCAGAACGCTGAAGGGAAGGTTTGCGAAGAGACCAGTTCTGTGTGAAAGATGGCCCTGTTTTTGGATCCATTAGACATCTTAACTAATTGGTATTTCTTTAAGATCTCATGGTCCAGTGCTTTGGATCCCCCGTCATGGAGGCCTTGGGCACTGCTGGGGGCCCTCAGAGAGATTCCACTCAGGTGGTGGTGCCCTTTTATTTTCTTTTTGTTTTCGACATGTGCAATTGAGGCAAGCAAGTTGCATCTGCTGATCTAGCCAATTCTTTTTTGCTGCTATTTTACAGGCCAGTGGACACGGAGTGATCAATCAGTCTTGGCACGGGAGTGAAAACCTGGGTAAGGGTTGTGAAAAAAGAACTAGAACATCATGGTCAACGACTCCCGTCAAATGGTCAAACATGTATTCAAACGTTGGTAAATAGAGGCTTGACCCAGGTCGCCCATGCCAGGTGACCACTCGGAGAATCTCGAGGGTGGGGAAGTAGGGTGAATGGGGGCTCAGCAACTGGGACGTGGGTTCAACCACCTGTTCTAGAGGAACATCATCTTTCTGGACCTCATCGATGTGAGGAGAAGTGGGCCGTACAAGTAAGTTCCACCTCCAAACCCAACTCGCACTAGGTCGTGGGACTCCTCACCTTTGCCTCTGCGGGTGGGCTCCTCTGGCGATGGAGGAGGGTGGCGTCTCTGGGCGACCAGAACATCGAAGAGTGGAGCTAACCACCCTTAGGCTAGGGCGTGGAGCTCCCTTTTCGGCTTCAAGTGGACAAGTCAGAGATGCAAGAGACGCACAACCCTGGAACTCGTTTCATTGACCTCCACTCCCAAACAGCCATCGATTTGCCCAACGGCACAGCCATGCGATTTGCTGAAACCAAGGCTTCAGATCCTCCCGGACGAAAAGGGGGACTCCCCGGACGCGAGGACGGGGTCTGGGGCGTCTCGTGCTCGCAGGAGCCAACGTGCTCGCAACCTCCATCGCCCCTTTGTCGTGAAGGCGCGGCACGTGTTCGCCGGGAAGCGCCGACCAACGGGATCGGAGCTGCCGCCCGTTCCGACAGGACTTAGCCGCTGGAGAGACCGTGGAGGACGGGAAGGGGGCTTCCAAGGGCGGGGTTCCACGAGGCAAAACCCATTTGCTAGCTGCAAGTTTCAAGGTGTCAAGGTATTGATATGCATTGGAATCGATTGCTTGCCGTCGACTCGTTGGTAGCCCAAAGGATGCCACTTCCACGTTTAGAGTGAGAGTAAACTAGAACTTTGGGTTTCATCTCCAAAGCTCGCTTGACTTGCGAAGTAGCCTTCTTCCTTCCCAACACAATCACGGCCTTCAGCATGGTTTTAGTCTCAGTTCCATCCAGCCCCGTGGTGCCGGACTCGGGAGGAGCCCATGACCGAGCTCACCAAGGTGGTGACCTTCCTCCAGGACCGATGAATCGAGTCCTTCTCCCTGGGAGACATCGACCCTATGAAGGTGGAATATCAAGCAAAAGCCATTGGTGGGGGGGGCCCAAAAGGCACGACCCTATGACAGACCCACATCTTTGAGGTCGTTGCTTTATGGTCTTTGCATTCTTCGCACGCCATCATGAGCCATCAATGGGCGTTTCCTACTCAGAAGGCTCTCCCTTGAAACACTACTTTGGATCCGTCAAAAAAAGGGTCACACCGGACGACATGGATCATAGGACAGGTCACCCCTTTGCTCACGAAAGGGTGCGAACCTAGGTATACCTACATCCCACCCCATAGTGGTGGATGCGCCGCGTTGGCACCACCAGGATGCCATCATTCGGCCCTTGGATGCTCGGCTTCCAGGCCAGAAGCACGTAATTAGGGGAGGTTAACAGAGAGCAGGAACAGAAAAGCGGCAGTTGGGCACATTGAGTAGAATGAGTAGAAGAACCTTGGACACTGTTGGTTGTTTTGGGGGCCGAACAGAGACACCTTGCGCAGCTCCATGGATGCCAAGCCTCGATTTGGGTGTCGGAAACCCACGGATGCTGGTGCTGACGCACTCGCGCCATTTGGAGCGACTTGCAAAGCTGGCACCAGGCAAGCCGTTCGAGCATGACTTGCTGGCCTTTCCCTTTACGCCCATGGTCCTGGTGGTGCGCAACGCGGAGGGAGTGGGTGGCTGTCATATGCTCTAGTTGGTTCATAGAAAACCTGGATACCACACCACAGCATGCCCTGCCCATCTCCCAGATCCGAGGTGTTTAGTTCATTCACATTGTTGTTTCCTGAACTGAATACAAAACACCAATCAATCAATCAATCAATCAATTTCTTGTGCTCAGCAGCAAGAACTTACTACTGTAATCACCAATCAACTGCATTGACCAGCGCACCCTGTCAAATATTCTTACCACAAGGGCCATCAGGTCTTTGCTAGTATAGTTATGGACCAAAATTGATCCATCTTCGGCCGGCTTCATTTGTACTGCAACACGCGTCCTCTTTTGCAACTTGACCAAACCCAACTCCAGTTGGAAACGGTTGACAAAAAGGGAAACTGCCCCTGGGTGCTCCATAAGGAGACTGTTTTTTGTACAGAAGGAAACACAACATGAGATTACACACTAACTCCGCAATTCTATATAGGTCAGAGTGGATTGACCATTTTCAATCATGTGTACAACACATTCACATTTTCATAGCTTCATGACTTCATGATTCTCCACCATACATTTGTGATTTGTCTTTTGTTCAGAGTCTTTTCAAGATGCGAGATTTATGGTTTTGCCCACGAAATTTGCACTTATCTAAAACCCTTCAGATCCATGACTCCTTTCGCCAGCCACAATCCCTTGCTGAACAAGGACAAGAACACATCACATAGACTGGAACCGTCCCCTTAGTAAAGTCAATCATGGTGTTTGTTGGGGAGCTATTTCCACCTTCCGCGTCAGCTGGTGGCCAGGTGGGCAACCATTCAGCCGGGAAGTTGGACACCCAGCTGTGTCCGGCCGTTGCCAGACAGGGGCACCACAGGGTCAGTGCGGGTCTTGGGGGTCGAGCGATTGCATGGAGTGTGGAGCCTGAATTGGATTGACCAGATGACGTCTGACTTGATCCGAGACCAGTGACTCCTCTTACATTCCAGCGAAAGAATCTTCGGAATTCCATCCAGAAAATGGCTCCATTTTCGTTCCATTTTCCATGAGCCCTCAAAGAGGGGTGTAGAGATGCGAACGGCGGGTCACCGTTCCAACCAGGTTTGGGGCACGAGAGGAGAGTGGCCCCAAAGACGTCCTGTGTCCTGAAAGGTTCCGACGGTACCTGTGGTGTGTAACCAGGTGGGGCGACCGTTCGCTGCTCTCTCACAGCTTGGTAGTGGTTGGTTATGAAGAAGACCATGCCACTCAGCACAAAGGCTGCGACTCACAGACCTATTTGGTTGGAGCCAATCATTTGCCCAACCTCTTGGAAGCTTCGATTTTCGTGTCCATATGTTTGCTTTCGAGAGTGTAGCCGCTCGTCTCCTTGATGTCATGGTCTTTTTCTGGGGGTCGTCCTTTGTTGCAGAAGACACATGTGAAAGGCACTTGCCCCCCGGTGCCAGATGGCTGTCAGGAACTATACCCAAGTGGACGTGACCAACCCCCTGAAGCGGAGCAAACCCCAAAACACACCCACAAAGTCACCCCGCGCATCGAACCTCCTCGCTGTGTCCATCGCGACCCCCCCCGACCTGATGCCATGACGCCATGACGCCATGCTGGCGGACTACAGTCGGGAGCGGTCCTTCACCATAGGCGCGCGTTCGGTGGGGCGAACGGAGTTCGGTGCATCTCAAGTGGCACGAGGTGCCGTTGTTCAAGGGGAAGGACCCCCACATTTGCGACTAAGCACATGGATGATCCTGAATCCACGATCCCCCAACACCTCCCTGATCTCTCTAGAAAATGCAGGTCCAGAATTGCCGACTCGGCTGTGAGGTGGCACCACCATCAACCCGAGCACTTGGAGACGATGGCACTTGCGCATTGGCGGCTGTTGCAGGCATCGTTGGGAGAGAAGCCGAAACATGGAGCGTTTGGGACGGAAGGGATGGAAGGGATTTGGAGGGGTGCCTACGTTCACCCACCAAAATGATTAGAATCACAGAGATGTCAACTTAACTCCCATGTCATGTCTTTTTTGTGTCCAGGTTTTGATCGATAATTACTGTAGCCAAGTGAAAGAACCCCCTATATAAATACTTCAAGAGGCAATTGCGGCAAGTGCAACAGAAAATGGAGTCTCCAACGGCTCCAGGAATATGCCAACAGACCATCTTTTGTGCATCTTCATCCACTTCCCATCATCTTCATCCACTCTCAACCACGAACCTGACCATCTCGATGCTGCGGGGGAACCACGGTCAGCCCTTCGCAGGTGGTTCTGCGGCTCTCCGGTCTGGCCCGGGGGGCCAGAGACCGTGGAGCTGCGGCGGCGCTACGCGGAGATCGAGGCGAGACGGTCCGGTGAAACACCCGGGTTTGGAGTGGAGTGGAGAGAAGGCTCCTTTGGGTGAGACACTAGGATGAGAGAAGCCTGTGAGTGCCCAGATGCAGTGCAGATCGAATCATTATCACTCAAGAGATTCAGCCATGGCCTGAGGAGTTCAGAGCTGAGCTTCCTAGTCTGTTGGAGATGAGCGACGTAAGCCGCGTCGGACGTTCCACAGATCCGAGACCAAGATCTCTAGGCCACTTACGAAGGCATCATCACCCTGGAGGCCAATGGCCGAGGCTTGGAAAGCCGGGAGAGCTGCAGTTTTGCTGCGCGGAACATGTTTTTTTCATCCACCGAGATGTAGGCCAAGTGTAGGCAATGTGCGCAACGCAGATGAAGTTCGTGCCAAGTAGACTATTGGTTGGATCTCTTGGCTGGTTCTTCAATTGGTTGCTTGGGGCTTGATTAGCTTTGTCGGTCTCTATTGAGTCTATTCATCACATCCGGGTGTTCTGGGAGGCATCGATGACTACTTCACGAAGAGCCATGTGCTTGGCGAGGGAGGCTTTGGCACTGTTTGGCAGGCCATGCTGGGGGTGGAAAGGACAGCAGTCGGTCGTGAGAAGCGTTGCGTGAGAAGGCCTTCTTTTGTTGATTTGCGCTTCATACTTTGATGCAAGGAATTACTCTCCTTCACGAACGACTTGATGTCTCGCCATGGTAACCATCAGACGCTTCATTGCCTCTCTTCCAGGCCACTCCCACGAAGCGTGCGGTGAAGGCGCTGCCTGCCTTGCGGATGGGTCAAGGCTATGCCTTGAAACGCGTGCGGCTGCCACTGCGGGACGCGGAGATCGAGATGATCTCCAAGAGCCGCTGGGACACCGTGCGACATGCGACACGACGTGCGACACGCGCCGCGTTTGGACTGGGATTGGATTGAAGTCCTCTAGATCATTCTAGATCCACATAAACCAGCGAACCTGAAAACCAATTTGTACTGTATACAGTATACATAAAGTATATATATATATATTATGTCTATATACATATATATATATATATATAATATATATATATATATTGCAACATAGATGCTGCAATTTGCTTTTAATAAACATCTCTTTGGTGCTTCTAGCGGTTGCTGCTGGTGCACGGGATGAAGTCGGATGCTTGGCCCCTGCTGCGAAGCAAGGCCTTTTGGGCGTCAGCACAGGGCGCATGCTCCAGTTCTTGAAGGCGCTAGATCTTGATCCGCATGCGGAAGGAAACCGATTGCAGTACCCAAGAAATCGACCATGACTGCCATGACAGCTAACTTCTTTGAAAGATCCAGTCTTCCTGGGTTTTTGATGGATTTGCAACAGATTTGACTTATTTTTCTCATGTTTTGCCCCCCCAGACAAGCTCTCATCCGTGTGCCCTGGCCCCGCTGCTCTCATCCGCAGGTGATCGCTAGCCCCGAGGCCACGGAGGAGCATGTGACGCGGAACCTGCTGCGGATCTTGGACGCTTGGAACAGCGAAACGTGCGGCGGCGGCTGCGGTGGGAAGCGTATGGGGCCCAGTGTTCGGAAAAGACGACGAAGCAACGAGAGGTCCATGGGGGGGGAAGTGGCATGGGCTGGATGGCGATGAATGTGTGAAAGGCACAGTTGGATCCTACATTGTAAGATGAAGGTCGAAGAATGACAGAAACATGAATCTTTTGAGGGATGTTGCATGAGTCAGTTTGACACTCTTGTGCCAGATAGGGTGCCCAAACACTTCCATTTACCATCATGGCCACCGAAGAGATGCCTCCAGTACCGTTCTCGGACGATCCATTTCTACTGTGCTTCCCACAGTTCGGCCAAAGACTTCCCACAGTTCTCTCGAGACACGTACCACAGTCTTGTTCAACAGACCGTTCAGCAGAGTTCGGTCAAGACCCTTGAGACCACACCGTCCACCTCTTTTCATGTTTGGACGCACAGAGACCTTCTGTTTCTGGGTGTTTCTAGTCTTTTTAAGGAAGCTGTGCCAGTGGGGAGAGACATCCCTGGCAAAAAATGGCACAGGATCGCCGTGTCAACGATTTGAAGGATCGTTTTGCAACAGATTTCACCGGCACCGCTTCCACAAGTATGTCGGGGAAGCTTCCCGTCTGCAAATGGAAGATGCTAATCCCGTCCAGATTTCCCATTCAACTCGAACGTGCAGGATCGTTGAACTCGAAGATGTTTTTTGGCTACTTGCTGTGGACGCCGTCCCCTCGCCGAGACGTTAGCCGGGTCCGGGTCGCGTCCATTCGGCTGCGGAGGGTCAGAGTCTTCCGGTGGGTCCACGTGGGTCGTCGCTACTCCCTGTTCGACTCCTTCGCTCGCCTTCGCTCGCCGTCGCTCGCAGCGAGTGAGTGAGCTCGCCGACGGATCCGTTTTGAGGAGATCCCACACACAATGCATATCGCGATGGAGCTACTGGAGGACCGTGCCGGGAGTCTTTTCTTTTTTAAACGTCGCGAGGGACCTCGCTGCGGAAAAAGAAACACCTGGTCTCTTCGATGGTGGATGACAGTTGTCCAAAAAGATACAGTAGCAATCACTTTTGTGGGTTTGAGAGATGAGGGATAGGCATTTTCCAAACAATTAGCTTGTTTGGAGCATGCACGCTGGCGCTTTCTACCCCAAGGTCCCTCCCTTATGGTACTAGGTCCTTGGAATGTGGGCCGTGGATGGGTAGTGCAAGGAGACTCACAGTTAGTTGCGTGCAACACATCCGCTTAATTGGGCGACCTTCCTACTGCTGGCACTGCTGGCTATTTTGTGAGACCCTCTGGGGTTCATCCTTTTGAGTGAACCCCCCCCTTGTGCACTCCTCGAAGCTCAGAGAGCTCCGTCCTGGCAAGACCACTCGGTTTCACGGAGTGGTCGACCGCAGGGGCCGACCTTGCGGGATTGGCTCGTGCAGCTGGAAAACAAGCCACTGCCTGAGACTCTGGCGAGCGAGCTGGCAAAGCAGATGTTTCATGGAGGAAAGTTCTGGCGTGAGAAGTGGATCTGAGGAGAGGGTGAGGTTTTTGGGAGAGGTTGGTGGGATGGGATTTGGGTGAGTTTGGGTATGTCTCCAAAGAGCAACTGTGGGGACCAAGTTTTTGGATTGTAGAACTTGTATCTTTTTTTCCTTTCATCGAGATGCTCGATGGATCTGGAGTTGGGTCTTTTGTGTGTCAGAGTGCAGTTTCAGAATTACAGTAAGTTGAGGCCCCAAAGCTGCTCATCATCCAGCCCAGGTTGCATTCTGTTCGCGACCTGGCCTGGTGTGGACGTTGGAGTGTAAAGAGGGTGCTAAACCCAAGAGCCTCAATGTGGACTCCGTGAGGTTCACAGAAGCATGGGGGACATTTGGGTTCAAGCTGGTTCAATCCTATAGCATCCACAAAGGCTGAATTGCCAGTTCTCAGGCCTGTCAGGCCTACCAGTCAGTGGGTCTCTTTGTGATCTGTTCAGGCAGGTATACCAAACCCGACCTGTGGCCAATCGAGATCATGTCAGGGCTCCCGAAAACCTGCCCTTCGAAGGATTTTGCGGGCGGAATCCGACCCATGTCCCTCGGCTCTCCCCCACACCTCCGCCGTCGTTCAGCTCCGAGCTCCGCGCTCCGGTGGCGACGCGCGCTCGCTAGGCTGAAGGCGGTGCACTTCTTGCACCGGAGCGCTGGGGCGCTGCACCGGGACGTGAAGCCCCAGAACTTCGGCTTCGCACGGCCGGTGGTGCAGGAGCTGGGCCTGGGCGGCCGCTTTTTGGGTGGCTTGGGTCGTGAAAACAAGAGTGAAAGGGGGGTGGTCCTCATTTTGGGTTTGACGGTTTGACCAAGTCAGTTGTTGAGGCGAGGTTGAGATCATTTGCCAACAAACTGATAGGTAGCAGCACAGGTCTGAGGTTTGTCAATCGACAACAAGGGACCCCTCCGGCCTCCAAATGAATTTCGATCTGTGAATCAACAGTACTTCCTAGAGTTAGTTCCCCTTCGGAAGGCTTCCCGGTGCCTAAAGGCCATGCCCCCACCAAAAGGAGATTTTCGCATGCTGAGTGGCCTTTCGTGCCAGGATCAACCGCCAACGCTTCAGCTGTTTGATATGGGCATGGTCCATGTCCTTCCGGAGCCGGTCGTGGAGGCTTCAGTGCCTGGGTCCGTCTCCGCCGAGCTCTCCGGGGGGTCGGAAGAGGGGCTGAAGGACTGGCTGGTGCAAGATGGAAGAGGGGGGCAAGGAAAACCATGGACTCTTCGTAGATTGTGAGGGTTTCTGCTTTCATTCTGCTTTCATTTTGCTTTCATTCTGCTGTGCCACCATGGAAGGAGTTTTCTGATTGGCACTGAAAAACGGGTGTGGGCCAACAGTGCCAAATTGCATGCTGGTGGGTTATTGGCTTTGGTTCCCCTTCTTAGGTTTGATTGATTAATAGCACATGCAGCACATAAATCAATTTAACTTTGAACTCGGTACACCATGCACGCCTTCCTGCAGAGCAAAGATTTTGATACATGCGAGGGATAGTACTTTAAGCTCGCAAATTACTTTTACAAATGATATAACTTCTGTCCATACTCCGGCCTCCATACAGGTTTCCTGGATTTTCCCTACCGTTTGACTTGGTTGCCCAATGTTTCATCCCCCTTCCCCCTTTTGACCGCTGAGGCGCGAGAACTGTATGCCTTGGGGATGGGCGGAACGATGCATTGGATCCCACCGGTGCGCCTAGCTTCTGAAGGGATGGACCATCCAGGTCTTTCGGGACCGGAAAGGACACCATAGGACACCCACCGTTTACCGCAGCGGTGTGGAGGATCCCGAACAGGCTCCTTAGGGAGGGTCAAGTTGATGGCCGATCCATGGATTTTCAGCAGGACTCTTCTGAATTTGGAAGGGAGTGCAATTTGGCACACGTGCTGCATCCGATACACGTATATGCGCGATCATGTTTTAATGAGTCTCAATGTCAGTTTTCATAGATTTTGTGCTGGTGCCTTGCACGGTAGACGTTCTGAGTCGGTCTTGGTGCTCAACCCTTGCTTCGGCAGGTATGAGAGGCTTCCAAGCTCTCGGGCATTTGAACCTGAGCAATAGTGAAATTGTGGGCAGACCCCAACATTGAAAAGCCGATCTAACTATTAAACTCATAACTCATATCGACATGTGGCTTCCCACTCAGAACCCAGGCGGGTTTCGGGTTCAGCCAGGTTTGGTTTGCCAGGAGACTTGGGCCGGGCGCAGCGGCGCCTGCTCCGACCTCTGGGGCGTCGGTCTGGTGGTGCACGTGCTGCTGCTGCGGCAGCTGCCCTTTGGACTGCAGCATTGTGAGGCGAGGACTTGGTGGGAGCACCGTTGGGGCCGAGCCAAACATGGAAGCTCCTAGAAGAATCTTGAAGCCCACTAACATCATAATTACGATATCATACGATCAAACACGACGAGACCCGACGGTCCTGATGGTGTTTGATCGCCAGGGCCGGGTGGCTGTCTGGGACGCCATCCGCACTGGCGCCGTGGCTTCCTCGAACGCCAATGTGTCGAAGGAGGCCATGTACATCCTTGGGCAGCTCTTGGAGAAGGAGTCCCTTTGCTCTCAGTTGTTTGAACCATTTACGACACTGGTGCCCGGAAGGTCGGATATTGGTTCATCCTTAAGCTGTGAGCTGCTGCGCCCCGTAGCACCCACTGCGGGGTTAAAGCTCGATGGATGACCCATAGAGCCAATACAGGTTTTCTCACTCTTCTGCTCCAGAGCTTTGGTTGTGAACATATTCACTTATATACGTTTACCGGAGCCCTGGCAGTTGGGTGGGCATTGGTGCCAAGTTGAGAATCCCTCAAGTGGAAGGAGCTACGGAGCTTGGGAGGTTTGGCCCACACACCGCCGTGTTTGTGGTGTCCAGACATAGTCAAAGGGAACTTGATGGCAACAGAGATCCATCCTTCACTGCTACCACGTGGTACATGAACAAACAGGAGCACCTCTCTGTGTGAGAGCTGCAAGAGATTCCTTCTGGATCGCTCTCCTCCCCAGTTATGTCTATTCCCCACACCGGTCCCCGTCCACCGCGCCACCACAGGAGCCGCTGCTCCGCGCCACCTCCAGCGAAGCGCTGCAGTGTGAGTGGCTCAACCGCAGCCGGGCGAGCTCCGACCTGCGGACGCCCACGCCCGGTGCCCGGAAGACGGTGGCCAAGGCGGTGCAGCAGCGCAAGGTGCAGCTGCCGGTGGAGACCGAACGCTGGGAGGAGCGGAGGCACTTGGAGTTTCGGTGAAATCTTGGTGAAGATGTTGTGGCTTGTTGGTTAACTTTCGTTGCTTTTGGTCTGTTGCCTCGGCGTCGCTTGGCGTCCGTCCCGGGCGCTTTTGGTGCCAAAACGAGCCCGACCGAGGTGGAAAGCGTTCTTTTTGGGTTCGAAACGACTCCGTCGAACGTGGTCTCCCGAAGGCCGTGTCCCCAGCGATGTGCCTCGGCGCGAACGGCATGTTTTCGCTCCGTGACACGTGTCCAGGAGCGATCCTTTTGGCAGTCGCTGATGCTTCAGACGTCTCAATGGTCCAAGCCTGACTGAGAGGCCACTACCTGGGAGGATGTTTGTTTGAATGGAATCGTTCTTTACGACCCGCGCTTTCCGTGCGGAAGCGCCCCCCCAAACGGAAGCGCGCATGCTGATCTCTGAGTGGTGGACTGGATGAATCGTGAGCGCCGCGGTGGTACGGGCGGTGGTCTGCGCGGTGGTCGAGAAAAAGGCAGGGCGGCTGAGTACTGATGAAAGACGATGAGACCTTGAAACACCACCGTTTTTTTTCGATGGCAGATGAAGACCTGGTGAGTGGGCCTTGAGAAAAGGCCCCGAAGGGACCAGCCTCGATCGCTTCAGCGTGATACGTTTGGAAGGGGCAACCTGCCTTTCACCTCTCCCAGTCGATCACGAGCGCCCAACCACAGACCACCAGAAAGGCAACCGCTCAACGGACTGGGAAGATATATTATGGCTGCCAAAGTTCACAGCAAATTGGTAGGTGTCTTGGCCGCGGTGGATGTTCGTCCTAGAAGTACTGAACAGGTTTTCGCCCATTCCCAAAGAATTCCCAGCTGAATCGAAGGATTAAAGTTAAAACACAACCTTTGAGGCGCTGCTGGGCCATACGGCTACAACCGGACCCGGATTTGAAATTGAGATTTCAATATCTCGACCAAACTCTTTTGACTCATCCCGCAGCAGGCTTTACGGAACGTGTTGTGCGGAACGCGTGAGGGAACGCGGACCCTTCAGCGGTCCTCAGGTCGACCTTCATCAATCGACTGCTTGGGACCAGCGTTCAGGCGACGGTGAGCGATCACACTGGACTTGGTGGGGAACGGTCAGGTGTCCAATGGGTGGGATCTATGAGAAAGTTCGCAATGGAATTTGCGTCACATGATGTGATGTTCTGTATAATAATATATTATATATATACATATACACAGTATATAAGTACAGTATATACTATAACAGTTCTTTTTGTTTTTTTGGTTTGTGTTTGTCTTTCTTGCGGGGTGTAGATGGCACAAGCAATCCGGTTCATACAGATCGGCAGAGGCAGGCCGATCGGCGCGTTTCCGCTGGGGTTCGACGGTTCCAATGACCCGACCGAAACCAGCCGAAAGGTTGGTGACTCGATGGTTCGAGGCCCTGCAAGGTTCGTTGCCGAGTCTCGTGGTTTTTCACATCAAAGCGTTGGTTGCCATTCCCTGCTGCATTTTTTCTGGCTGCTCAGTTCTACAACATTCTACGTTCCTTCTTGTGCTAACCATGTGGGCGCTTCTAACTGCTTCTGCCCTCACTGCTGCCTTGGCCGCCTGCGAAGATGGCAACTGTGACGTGAGCAACCTGCTGCAAAAACATCGGCATCAGAGCATGGGTGCAGAGTCAAAGGCCAAGGCAGCCACGTCGGTGGCCCTTGAAGCATCCTCGTGGGCTATCCTGGAAGCATCGAATGTTTCACAGGGTTGCACAGGAACATTGATACCTTTGGGCCTTTGGGAGATGTACATCAGGATATTGGGGTAGACTCGATGATTTCTTAGGTGTTTCTGTTCTAACATGTCCTCATACATTGGAATTCGTGTGCAACCCTGAAGAAAGACTTTGCCATGTTTCGGTGGGACAGCTCTGAAAAATTGAGGTATGCCGCGGTATGCCGCCTACCGCCTACCGATTACCGATCACCCAGAATGAGGTGTTTGCGTACCTAAGACTCCCAAAAAAAGGCACAGTGCACTGGTTGTCCCCGAGTTCAGGTGGTTTTCTTCTACAAAGGGAGTTGTGGATGTTTGTGCTGCTGAAGTGTCCGCAATCTCCGTTCTCTATGGCTTTCCACAAGTCTTACTCAACCTACTCGTCTCCGGAAGAACCTCCCCACCCAAACCACTCGATGTGCGAAATGCCTTTTGGCCCATTGGCCTCGCGGACGTACTCGTGGAACTCTTCCTGAGGAACTCACCGAGTACCAGGTGGAAGGCTCTTGGGATTGGTGGAGTGAAGGTGATATCTACGCACATGTCGAAGTGAACCCTTCGAGCCTCGGCGGGACCGCTCCACTCAGGACCATCCGTGGTTCGGGATCTCCAGCCAGGACACCCATCTCGGATGGTTCAGGTGGAGCCGCTCCTGGTTTTTCTGGCGCCCGGTTTGGCCGAGTTGACGGTCAAAATGTTGGAATGAATACGGGATTGGATAGGCTGGATGTTACATCAGACCGGTATTGAAACAGACATCGTTGCGTATGTCTTGTTCATGAACTCACTGCTCTTCAGAATCTGAGGAAGTTTGCGTACAAGTCAGAGGTGCGCTACGACCAGAACAAGGGGGACCTTGATATGCAGATCTACCTGCCAACAGATGTGGGCACCATCAAGGTGTCACTGTACGATCACCATGAAGTTTTAAGCCATGATCTGGTGGGGACCAGCACCTTCAATCCCGCCACAGATTGTGGAGCGGAGGATGTGTGCAGCTTTACCTTAAAATTCCGGAGCACGGAGACAGTGGTGGAAGAAGTTGCTAGGCTTCAGGGTCGTTGGATCCGTGGTGGTGCATTGAGAGCGCATGCTGAGGAATGCAACAAGCGAGGTACCTTTGTTCATTTTGAGGAAGAGACCCGGGAGAAGAGCACCTACAAGCTGTACAGTGTCAAGGCGCCGCGCCTGGCGCGCGGCCCAGAACTGGGGCGGTTGCGCGAGCGTGAAGTGGGTTTGGCCAGGGGTTCTCCGAGCACGCGTCCACTTTCCGTTTTTCTGTTTTCGGAAGTGAATCTTCTCCAATCAACTTATGCCCCAAACGGGTAGCACACGGAACACAGGGAGAATCCCCGACCCATTCAATCAGGCACAGATGTTCGACGCTGAGATGTCGATTTGGGGATGTTCGACGCTCATTCAATGGTTTTGACATGTTTTGACCCTGTGACCCCCATATCGATACCTACACCATGCCCTGAAAGCAGTGTTGGACTCCCACCAGAGTCCGGTGAAGTTGCGGCGAAGGCGGAAGGGATTGAGAATGAACTCTTCTATGCTCGGAACGGCTCTGTATTTCCCGCCTCACTGCACGGCGTGCATTGGATGGACCAGCGTGGGACCTCCTTGCGGAAGCGTGGGAAATATGAGGAGGAGCCGGACTACAAGCAGGTCCGAGGGGATTTCCGGTGGATGCTCACGAAGAAGTCCATTAATAATGTAGTGTGGCTTTTCGCAATCCAAGATTCTGTGGCAAGCAGCTGGTCTACAGGCTTTTGATAGCTGAGACTGTATCAGGTTTCGGGAATTTGATTGGGTAGACACAAGTCAGAGGGAGTACAGGTGGGGCGGAAAGCACCTGCCTTCGGCGGATTGTTAAAGCACCAGTTGCAGTTGGCTGAAGACACGCAGTTCACTTTTTTTGGGTCTTCCCATGTCTTCCCCATCACAAACACAACTTCAAACTCCCCATGCAGAATCAACTCCAGCTCTTCTCACCATTTTTGACCTTTTCACACTTTTCATCCAGCTCAGCGGACCGGCAGGTGTGCGCCCTGTCAGCGGAGGAGGTCTTCATGCACTTTGGGGAAGCGGCCTGGAACCCGAAGACGAAATGCGCCACCGGTGTGAGGCGGGGACCGATGCCTTGTTTGGACGGATAGGCCGACGAGGCCGTTGGGGGACGGACGTTGGGCGGATGGACGGATGAAGAGGCCCCCGATGGTCGGGCAAGTTGCGTTGGGATCGAGGGTGCTTTTCGGCTGAAGGGAATGGATCGAACAGGTTCTGGCGAATTTCCTGTCTTGGTGGTCAAGTGGGTCCCCTATTGGGACGGTCCATGTGAAGGGTAGTCCTTGGGTGGAATCTTATGCGCCAGACAATCTTGGAAGGCTGCTAAGCTGGCTAAGCCCTGAAGCTGTGGTCACCTGCTTCTCCAATGATGCGCCCTGATGTTCCTCCATGCGCTGCATGCACCACACCCCCGCCCCCCCGCACCGCTGATTTTTGCTGACCTCCGGAGGCAATATGGTGGCTCGCCTTTGTCAGGGCATTGGTCTTGGCTGGATGAGGGCGGAGTGACGAGCACGCAGTGGGCAAATGGGAACGGTTGGAACATGAAGTACGACTTCTGCTTCAGAGATGAGGATTGCTTCGGAACGACGTCTCACTCGCTTTTCAGCGGGCAAGCGGCAATCTTTGGGATGGATTGGGGGTAAGCTGCATGTTTGGACCCAGAAGCAGCGGCATGAACTTCTGGCATGAACAATTCATTTGGAAGACCAATATTCTGTTTAGAAGCGCTGAGAATGTGGGATTGAACTGCTTGATTGGGGAGTACAGCTTCTTGTAAATTGCTGAAAGGGTTCCAAAGAAACCACACCTGCCGGTGCTCACAGCCACTCATATCAACCAGCCTTGTGCGACCCTTTGTTGGTCCCACAGAAACAGGTGTCAAGGACATCACCTCCCCCCACAGAGTCCGATTTCTCCAGATTTCGAATTCCTCGGGACCCTTCGAATTCCGCCCTCCGCCTCTCCGCCTCAGGAGATGACCTTCATCGATGTGATGATCCGGATCTCTTTGAGTCGCATCTTGTCCGACACCTTGGGCTTGCCCAGCTTGTTCCCGCCCCATGTGGAGGTGACCTTGCCCACTTGGCTCAACGGAGTGAGCATGAAGAAGACCAAGTTCGGCTGGGATCGAGACTCGAAAGGGAAAGGAGGAACAAGACAAACAGGAGTGATACAGGTCCGTTGTTATTTTATTTGATTTTTTTTTTCTCTCTCTGTCTCTCCCTCTCCCTCTCTTTGTCTTGGAGGTTTGGTGGGTTTTGGGTCCAGTTCTGATCAATTTGGGGTCGTAGAGCGTACGTGTTTCTTTAGCGCATGAGCCACGCGACATGCAGATGTGAGTTTAAAAACAGATCTCTCGACCTAAAATTGTTTCGCACCTAAAACCTTTTTGGGTCTACCTCATTGACATGACATCACACTTGAAAAAAGCCCCAAATCCTCACCACCGGGACAACCCAGTTGAGTGGCATCTTCGCACCGTGTGCGTTTTTTCCGCGTATGGTCCGCCCAGTCCGAAGCCCCGTTGCTCACCTGAGGCCTAACGACCATCGGGCCTTCTTGGCTGAGGACGTTGATCCGAACCACCTTCGACAGTGGAATCATCCAGAGCGTCTTTGGGATGGGTGTGGGAACACCGGCGCCTCTTTAGCAACGTTTTGCCGGGTGAATCCGATCTTCCCTTACAAAACACCTTAGAATCTACGTTCCGGACCGCCACTCCGAGCTTCTCACCGGGTTCTTCCGGTGTGTTTCTCCTGCGTTCGATGCTTGGATCTTTCGACGCTTCGCTGCGGCATCCAGGCCTTGGAGAGGACTGGCCGTTTCTGTCCGGGGGAATGGAGTGTCATTATCCCTTGCTCCAAATCGTGGACGGCCACGGCCAGCGAGGCAAGTACTATCAGGACCGATAGGGCGAGCGGAGGTCCCACGGTGGGGGGGGGCGCCAGCCGTATCGACCCGGTACTGACCCGTTGGTAGGCGGACTAAACCCATGTCAGATGGCAGGACTACCTGGAGTACATCAACAACGGCACCAGCTGCACTACGCCAACCTTTGACTGCCAGGTGAATCAAGCTCCTGGCACCGTCGTCATTGGGCGCTTGGAGCCCTTCTGAGTCTGGAAAGCCAGTTTGTGAGCTGCCGAAGGCACCGGAAAGAAGCATGTGCATCCGGGGTTGGAGGGTGCAGACTGCAACCAGGTTTTGTGGGGTCTGAAGGGTCTGAAGTTGAAAGAGTGAGTCTCTGCAATTCCATGGTCTTCACTTCTAACCAATTTAGTCATTCTGAAGTCTGAAGTGGCTAGCAAATCATCTTTCCACTGGTGGAAATAGGCTTACATTTTGAAGACCTCCAGTGGCAATGGAACATAGCGCGACTTGCGGTCCCTGTCCGTCACGGCCTTTCATAGCAGTGAAGTCGGAGGGTGTTCCAAAGAGATCAGCCGACCACCGAGTCGCTCCTCGAAGAACCATCTCGATACCAAGCAACAAGAGGCTCGTCCTCCAAAGCACCAACCTTCCTCGCCATGTCGACGAAAAAAAACACAACACCACGAACCAACGAACAACCAAGATCCCTAGCAACCCCGGCAATCACGTTCCTAAACACCGCAAGGTCAACCGACAAAGTCTTAGAGCAATGGACAATAAATTTACTGTTTTGGACCATGGGTGTTTTGTTGCACTCATTTGGAGCTTAGTGAGCTTGCTGCTTTGGGCAGACCTTGCTATGACCCGAGCAGAGGGAAGCCGAAAAGGAAGACAGGTGCTGCAAGAAAAACCATTGGAAAAACCAAGTATAGTTCCATGAAACGTAATTTTTTGGAGCCTTGATCACCCCAAAAGGACCACTAGGACCAGGAGATTTGGCGTCTAGGAGACGGGCGTCGCGCCCACGGACGACGGCTTCACCGTCCGGGCACCTGGGGGATGTTGGATTTGTGAGCACGGGGACTTCGTGCTGGAGACTTGATGGGGTTGAATTGTTGACGGACCGTGGGGGTGTTGTTTCTTCGATCTAGCCATCATTGTGCCATTGATACGCAGGACAACAGTCACGCCATGGTCACTTCAACTTATGTGGATACGATTTCATTCAAAAATACATCATGATGGGAATTGCTGGTGTTCCCTCAAGGGCTCTGCTTGGGCTCCAAAAGCTCTCGAGGCAGGCATGCTCAACAAAAACCTCGCCTCTCAAAAGTCCTTGTCTGTGGAGCAGAGTGTTGAATTAGGAGTCCCTGGTCTACGGTATCCTGGGGAGTGAATTGGATCAGGGCCATCATTGCCTGTGTATGGTTCTGCGGCTGTTTGGGCCAAGGGGGGCAAGATGGGACACGTTTTCTCATGGACAAGACAAGGAGAACACAGAAAGCGAACAAAGTTTTCCTTAGACCCCCCCCGAACATCTTCAAGACTACGTTACAACAAGAGGGGTCCTTGATCGCCCCTGTAGCAACCGGCTTTTTCTTTACTCAGATTCACTCTGCCATTCCGAAGAGACAATCAGATCAAGTTAGAACCATTAGAATGGGTTGGAAGGCAAGCTGGGCCACCTGTACCCAGGCGCAATGACATTGAGCCTCTAGACTCTAGGTCACAGCCGGTTTGGTGACTCCTTGAAAGCTCGTATAGGCAACATTTAAGCAAATATTTTTGTAATCAGAGATCTTAGCCATCCAAGTAGCTGAAACAAATCCAAGGAATAGGAGAGATGTTGTGAGGACACGATGAATCCAAAGGTACTGGTACAGAAACTCTGGTGCTCTCGAACACCGAGTATGTGACAGGCGGCGTAGCTTGAGCCTTCGAGTAGTCTGGGAGACCTTTCTTCCATCCCTTTTCTGCGGCTTCGCAGCTTCCAAGCCGCCATGGGCGGCTTCGCAGCTCCAGCCATGCGAGCGGCTACAGCGCACGACTAAGCTACGCGCACAGGCGGACCTGATGTGCGGGATGTGTCGTCTCACGGTGTTTTGCATGGCGTCTCCGAGAGGTTGAACAGGGTGCGAGGGGTTCGTTTGGTTCGGCCCGAGGGGCGAAATGACGTGCCAACGGATTGACAGTGCATTTGAAGCAAACGGTTTTTGAAGAAAACCAGCCTTGGAAGCCCAACGTGTCCGTCCATAGCTCGGGCGATGCAGCAAGTAAGGGCGACTCGCTGAATGTTCACTGGTTTCACTGGATCTCTGAAGATGCTGCGATACAGAAAGATCCAACAAATCCAGGGCTTTCCGTCTTTGGGCAAAGCAGACGTTCTCCGTTTCTTTGCCGTGAAAGTATCTCCAAAAGATGGCCAGGAAGTGTCTCTTCTTCTAGATGTTGCCGAAAAGAAGCCCCGCAACGACCTCGGGCTTTCTTCCCTGCTCGGTCGGCGATTCGCAGGTGCCCCCCATGTAGCAGCGCCAGACTCGTGATGGAGCGCTTGTTCAAGCGAAGGCTCCATCTCCAAATCATCAATTGCCCCTTGAGAAGGAACGAGATTTGCATCGTTATTGTTTAAAATTGTATTTATTTTATATTAATCCCAGGGCATCCAGTTACCACTATACATAGCTGGTAACCAGTGGTTCCAAAGACTAAACCCATAGTATCAACTTGGAAATCGTCTAGCCCTCGAAGTCTAGTCCAAGATCCT